ATATTGAAAGCTTTAAACTCCAAAAATAAGTAATTAATTAGCATTTTTTAGTGACTCGTACCAAACGTTGGCAGGGTTCTGGAATCTAACCTCGCAAATGTTCAAGGTATTACTGTATATATATAGCTAGATTTTCAAACAAATATTTATAAGAAAGTCAATTCCTTAATTAAATAACGAGCCAGTGCAACCCCAGAATCCAGTTTTTAAAAGAATGTTAACGTTCGACAGAAGAAGAGATTTTAGAGATATACATTCTTGCAGAATGACGTGTTATTTATTGGTTGTGTTTTCCCCATTTCATTCAAAAATTGTGTTTTCAGATAATACATCTATTTGCTGATCTCTAAATAATTATAGGAGGAACCTCTGATGAGAGTATACAATATTTATTGAGTAGTTATTACAAAATAGTTATGTACCGGTACCACATAATTGTCAATTGAAATGTTTTGCAGTTAAAAATGTATATTATGCACCATTGTTGTCAGGTGCTATATTAAACTTTATTAAATACAGCTCGTCTGTATCTCTTGCAAAGAGGCTTGATTGCCATTTAGCAATTGCATCTTATTAAATGCACACAATTACTCTATGCTCATGTAAATATATGCAAGTGCCACCTCAAAGTGAACAACAAAATATTTCTTAAAAATCAGTGAGTTTTCAAAGTGTCTCCTATTTTTAGGCATTAAAATGTATTAAAAGTTTTGAAAAAGCAAAAAAAAAAAAAATTAATACGGTACAGAAATTTATGAAATCAAAATAATAAATTTTCTTTTGAATCGGATTTTTGGTCTTTCTTAATATTTTGTTTGTCTTTAATACAGTTCTAGACCATATGCACTATTCCAAATCCTCGATCATTGGGCCTACTTCAAGTTTTTCAACAGCTTTTACTTTAGGTAAACAACCATCAGTTGACTGGACCTAAACTGCCTTGTCATTTCTCACTTGTATGATTATGATTGATCCATCTTTAATCCGCGATCCTCAGACACACCCTCAGGATAAAGTCCATGATTTTATTGTTATTGATTAGACATGGCTGTACAATTCCTTTAGAGTTAGAGTAAATGTTCTGGTGTATAAACTCTTATTCTAAGTACTCTTATGTGGACAAAGCGGATGGGGGTGGTAAGCCACATGTGGACAAAGCGGTTGGGGGGGGGGCGTATTTTGAGTGGACGCTCTTTAACTTTAGGTATAAATAACTCTACATTTAACATATCAACATATTATTTATAATATAGATGCATAAAATCCTGCCCACGAAGTAACACAGTTTCTTTATTATTATTATTTAATAGGTGTGCCCCCCCTCCCCCCCCCCCTTAGTCCTAATTTCTTTCGGCCCGCACAAGTTTTTCACAAAGTATTACGGCTTGCCTTACATTTTGAGTTGTGCAGACTTGTCGTTTTTAGAGTCATAATAGCAAATGAGTTCAGTCGATCTTATGATATTGAGTGTTCGTGATTATTAGGAACTGATGACGTCTATGATTGCGCTGCTGGCACTATTCTGCAGTCTTCTGCCGACTCCAACTCATAATACTCTGAATTTTCGGACAGCTTCTTTAATTGTATCCTTCAAATTGTGTGTGTTTCACTGTGCTCGCTATGCGTTCTACGTCGCCGGAGTTGTCGGAAGTTTTATTATGTCAATGTCATAACGCTTACGGAATTCCATCTCCGGGCTTGATTTGAGAGTTTTCCTTCTCTTAGATGAGTTGCCATCCAAGGTTAACGAGTCCGATCCACCCAGGGTGCTGATAATGTTTGGGTTTGTCTAGGCGTTTTCTGGAGATTGACAAGCTTGGGATTGACTCGTTTAACTGCTTGGCCACCCTGGACCCGGTATTATATAACACAATCTAAAGTCTAATCACCGTACATTTTCCTTCTTTAACAACACATTTTGATCATACATACAACTTTATTCATTTTCTGTCGTATATTTCATATCTTAAGCAACGACATGCAAAAACTTTTGAATGCTGCTGTAGCCATTGTTCACATCAGCATTTAAACGCATTTACTCACCCATTTATTTGTCATTCTTTTTAAAACTAGTACATAGTCATGGTGACATACGCCACCTTTGCGCACAACAATGTCAAAATATTTGGGTGATAACCACACAGAGTTCGCTTGGTGCAGAGAAACAGTTCATTGCTAGAACTGAACAAGCCCCAATAAAGAAATTGCTCTAGCTCCAAACCATCAATCTGCATTACAAAATCAACCAAATAAATTTGATCGAATGGAAATTTGGTCGAATATTTTTTTCAGTTCACACGTTAAAATTTGCGTCAAATTTCTTTTTGAACGCATTATTTTGTTTTACTATATAGTATAGTATACGAAAATTTTAACGTGTGATCTGAAAAACTGATTTATTTAAATGACGCATAAAGTTGTAGCAATTTTAAACAAATTACATCTTTATCTTGTTAATCAACAAGTTTTTACACTTAAATTTTATAATGCAGAATCAATTGAAAAAATGTTGAAGACTAAATATCATTGTTTGTGGAAATGTAAATACGATTATTGTCAGTATAGCTGACAATTGTAATAAAATTGTACTATAGTTTATAGCTGCCATCATCTTCCCATGGAGTAGCCAGGTGTAGCTCTATCGTAACCAGTGGCGTAGCGAGGGTGTTTGGCGCCCGGGGACAATATTCGCGCCCGGGGACAAGATCCATTTTTAGCGCCCCTTTTTCTTTTTTTCAACTCTCAAACCCATTATTTTCATCAATAAAATAATATCAAAGCACATTTTGGCGCCCCTAACTAGCTGGCGCCCCGCCCGGGGACATCTGTCCCCCCTGCCCCCACCACGCTACGCCTCTGATCGTAACAATGGGCATAGTAGCTGATTTATCATTTGCATCTTGCGGAACTGATATACTAGACAAGTCAATATCATCCTCATCTAACCATTCAGCTCTTAATATGGAAGCATTGTCAGTGTGAGCAATAATTGCCATAAGCTCTCTCTGTCTCCTGGCAGCTGCTCGCATTAGTCGAATCAGGGCTATCATTTCAGGTTTTTTTTTTTCAAAGGGGGTGTGGCGGGGGGGGGGGGACAAAAATCAAAACTTATTAGTGGGCTTGGTAAGTTGTTTATTACAGTACATAGAAATTTAAATAAAGCCTACAAATC